GAAGTGATGCTTACTCAGGAGGAGTGTGACGAGGAGGAAGGCCTCGAAGGAGAGGCTGCTGAAGGCAAAGAAGAAGAGGATGATGAGTCAGAAGAGGGATATAAAAGTCCCGAGGATCCTTTCCCACCTGAAGCAAGAAGGAGGCCAACGGAGGAAGATTTGGACAAGGATTTTGACCCGAACGAGGAGGTAGGGAAGAAGCCTTAGCATGTAAATTTTGCTAAAGCTTTGGCTGTGTTACCTCTGCTAACACTTTGACCTGTCCTATATACAGGTCCCTCCTGAAACTCAGAAAAGACGACATCGACGTCCGTGACATCTCGCTAGACAAGACGGAGTAGAGGAAAGGAGAGCAGAGGCAACAACCACAGAGACGGATAACGATGCCTCTGCTCCACAAACTCAAGAGCCTAAGAGGAAACGAGTGGATAGAAAAGGAAATCTATATCCAGATAAGGCTTGCTATGTGATAACAGAGGTTGGGCCAGCAGGGGAGATCCTTGAGCCGAAGAAATTAAGAGGACGATTCCGTAATGCGATCGGGGCCCTAGTAAGAGATAAATTGAACCCAGCAATCCCTAACTGGAAAGAGGTACCAGAGAACATAAAGAATGCACTATGGGATAGGCATCTGAAGGTTAATTTTAGATTTTCAGAGGGTAAGCACGAATTGGTAAAAAAATGCTATCAGGATGATGGGAGAGTCATTTCAACGTTGGAGGTCGGAGCTCAACACGAAGTATATCCAAAAGGGGTTAACTCCCTTCAACGAGTTCGGTAAAATAACTCCTAGTCAATGGGAGGAGCTCATGGCTCAGAAGACTTTAGCGGAGGCATTGGAGCTCAGTGCCCATAACACCGAGCTGGCGAAGAGGAACAAACACCACCATCATCTAGGCCCCGGTGGCTACTATACCAAGGAAGAGCAATTTAGGTAGATGGATGAAGAGGCCGTAGCTGCTGGGAATATCGATGTGATGAACTTGAAGGTACGCTCAAGGAACTAGATATATGCGAGGAGTACAGAACCATCCGGCAGTAATCTTAAGTTTGGTAAGCCAGAGATCCAAGAGGCGGTATCAAGGATACTGAAATATGATGAAGACAAAGAGACGGGCTCATTCAATCCTTCTAGAGAGAGGGACGAGCTTAGCCTTGGCTTGGGAAACAAGGAGCACACATGCCGCACCAGGGGTCTAGGGAAAAAGATGACCTAGAAGCAAGGATTCAAAGAGGACAGGCACATGTACAAGAAACATGGCCGAGACCGGGAGACTAGTCTTGAGCTCCAAGTGAAGGCTCTAGTTGCGAAGGCGTTGGAGGAGCAAGGAATGTCTATGGAGCCACGTATATTAGTGACGCCGCCGGGAGAACTGGCATTAGTTGGCAGCCCTTCGAAAGTTCCTAGCAACCAAGGTTCCACTGCAGCCACAACCCCAGTCGATCTCATACGGGAACCTACTAGTTGCACCTTGGTGTTTCTCAGCGGCCGGCAGAACACTGTGATGGAGGTGGCAACGGGTGTGGCACATTCTCCCGGTGGCTTACACCACAATAATAAGATACCGTCGGAATACACTAGGGTCGAGGTGCATACAGTGAAGCCCGAGTTCATGCAGTGGAGGATAGACTATGCAACTCTCGAGGGGCTGGTGTTACTCGGAGACGTTATGGGGCAGTTCATCCTCTGGCACAAACAGGACATTATATTGACTGCTTCTTCGCCGCCTCCCCCTCTCTCAAATTTCGAGCGAGTTGTTGAGGCCAGGGAGATATTTTCACCGTCTCGTGACCCCCACATTTCTAAGATGCCACATTCTTCCCCGCCTCCTATCGAGCATGTGCCTGATGAGATGCCACAACCTTCTCCAGCTCGTACCGGGCAAGTGCATCATGAGATGCCACAGTCTTCTCAACAAGCACAACCGATACATGAACAACGAGTGCCTCCTGAAGAAGGTGATGCACAAGAAGATGAGGACGTGCCTAAATGGGAACTCCGAAAGAAGATTCCAATCAACATAAGGCCAGTTTATGTTCCAATCAAAGACGTCTCGTCGGTGTCCAAGTGGTATTCCTATGATCAGTTCAAGCCTGAAAACCAAGTTAAAAAAGTCCCATCACGGGGTTCTGAGGAGGCCGTTAGTAGCAAACTCCACCAAATTGCAAAGCAGTATCCAAATGTTGATGACATCGAATGGTCAAAGGATTGCCCGAAAAAATATGAAAGAGGCAATCCCTTCCTACCAAACCGGGACATCCAGCGCCTACCACTTGGAATGAGAAGGTTCCATGATTGGTACTTGCGTGTTCTCCCAACGAGCATATATATCATACAAGCATGCTTTCCCACCGGCACATTTGGAAGCCCAGCCGGGAAAATTGTCTTTGACTTCAATGACATGCACACATGCTTTCACCTGGGAGAAATGGAGATGAATCTAAATCGCACGTGGTGCCTGTAAGTCCTTGTCCTCTCGATATGATATGAATGTAATCTTTGAATTTTGTTGTAACTAACCCACGCCGTGATTTGTAGAATGCAAGTGTACATTATCAAACAAATGCCAAGTGTGAAAGCCAGGTATGTAGACCCTCAAGCTATAGCCCAAACAAATTTTAATTACCCTAAACGGTGGACACTGGATGCCAAAGAGTTAGCAGCTGCAAAGACTCTTCGGGAGAAAGAGCGCATCCGTAGTGCGAAGCTAAGGGAAGAGTCCCTTAAGGTTGCGGCATACATTGCCTTGGCTTTCAAAAATCTCCAACACCACTCTACTATATGGCTACCATACAACTTCGAGTAAGCTCAACTCTATACTTAAAGCTTTGTTCGATATATTTCATTTGATGCAAAAAGGCTTATCTAGTTCTATGATTAAATGCATGCAACAACCACTGGATTTGTATAGCCATCGATGTCGGAAGGAGCATGGCATGAGTCTTTGATTCATTAGATAAGGACACGGTGACATACAAAGACTTCATATCGATTCTCAAGACGTATACATATCGACAATCCTCATTAGCTTATATGTTTGTATACATACTTGTAACGTTCACTTTTGATACTAACAAGTTGTATTTGCTAAAATAATTCGAACAGGGCATTTAGGTTCTATGTCACTAATCATCATGGAAGGCATGATCCAGCAAGGAAGGAAAAGCTGCCTATAAAAACACTATGTGCGGTAAGTGTAACTTACTTCTTCAGTACTCCGTTACATGGCTGTCAAAAGCATTACTAAACATTTTCATATACAAAACACACAGTGCCCCAAGCAGAAGCCTAGGAGTGTACATTGTGGATACTATATATGTTCTATGATGGGTAACACCGGTGCCTACAGGAGACACTCCTTAAGGGTAAATTTGAACCTCTTCACCCGTAGTATAAAAACTTCGTAAATGGTATGAAATACTAAACCGAAACTTATTTTCTTGTAGTGGAGAGAAGAGAAAGGAATGAAAAGAGACACATACAAGGATGACCAACTTTTAGAGCTCGTCGACGACCTTTGCAACTTCATATTGGACCAGATTGTACACGTCAGAGGCACCTACCATGACCGAGAGTTTGAGTTAGGTACAAATCCTCAGTACCAACACCTTCGTGAGACAGAAAGGCTAGCTCTAGGACGTTGATAACAATGTGTATGGAATTTGTATATTTAATGATGGATTATATATATTCATGTGAATTGGACTTGTAATTGTAGTTTATAGAATACTCTTATGTTTGTAGTTGCGGTCGCGGGGTGGTCGGCAATGCGAACGCTGGTCACGGGACGTTCGGCAACACGAACGCGGTTCGGAACGTTGGTTGTGGGACGTTCGGCAAAGCGATTTTGAATTGAAAATTTGATTTTTTTTACAGAAAAACGTACTGTAGGGGCGGTTCTAGATTGAACCACCCCTATAAATACCCGTTGGTAGGGCGGCTGATACTACAGCCGCCCCTACAAATCGATTTGTAGGGGCGGCTGGTAATAAGAGCCGTCCCTATAAATAGATTTGTATGGACGGTCTGAGAACCATCCCTACAAATACATGATTTGTAGAGACCTTTGCGTAGGGACAGCTGGATAAACCACCCCTAAAAATGGTTTACAACCGTCCCTAAAAATACTTTTTGACGTAGTGCCAGCCGCTGATGCGTCGCCCTGCTACAGCACAGCTGGCCGCCGCCGCCCGCCCTGCGTGAGCCATACCGGGACGACGCGCGCTGCTTCAACGCAGCTAGCCGCCCCTGCGGGTTTTGTTTAACAAGCAAAAAAATTGAAAAGCTTGCAGCACGTGGGAGAGCTCGGCTAAAACTTTAGGACGGCGGAAAGGGCAAAAGGATAAGGACAGGAGAGTTTAAAACTCGAGATGGACTAAGATCATGGACCATGGGTCCACATGTAAGAGAGTGAGAGAGAAGCTACCGGAGAATTCAAGAGGCTCACCTTAAGTTCAAGCCCTCCAATGATTATTTTTATGTTTGTGTATATATGTTTTCTTGTTTTATTTTCTACGGCCGGGGAATCTAGGTCTAATTAGCATAGTTTTCTATTCTTTTTTCTTTGAAATGAGGAGTACTACGATGTCTCACCTTTTGATTCAAAAAAAAGTATTTGGTCTAAAGTTATATGAGCTTTGAATTAAAATTCACGACGTGTCGATGGATAAATCTCTAATTTCTTAATGTTCGTACAAGTTAGTTTGCAAAACAAATTCGTTGAAGACGAATTAAAACACATGTCACTTTAGCTAAATAAATTTCGAGACAAAAGTCGTATAAGAGACCATTCAATAAATTAAGTGTCCCGTTGCAATGCACGAGCATTTTTACTAGTGCAATAACTAAAGATAAAACCGAGAAATGAACTTAAAAGACTTTTTTTTTGTTTCGGACCTGCTTGTTTTCTCACCGTTAGGAACCAGGAACCACATATGCTAGCTTATTAAAACAGCATCTTAAGATTAGCACTTAGGTAGGACAGAAACAAACTGAGGTTTTATTCTTCATGCTCTGATTTCGTCGGGTTGAGAACATGTCCCATGAAGACGACGACACCGGACACCTCCTCCACCACAAAGAACGCAAACGGATGATCGGCGACAAAATTCACAGGCGAATAAAGACAGTAATCTACCATCGTGCAAGCAGTAGAGGCCGCTGCTTCGGTCCCTTCCTCGTTCACCTCGATGACCGCCTTGTGGAAAACATGCTCCAACACCAGGTCAGCCCCGCCCTCCAGCATGTCAGACAGGTCGGCAGTGCCTTCCTCAAAGGCGGCCTTGATCCCCATGGCCTTGAGAACGCCATTGATTCTGCTGGAGAAGGAGAGCTTGAACTTGGGCAATCGCAACTCGTCAACCTCGATGCGTTCCCTCGGCATGTGGTCCCACAGGAAGTTGGGGCGGGATGCCATCATGTCCATGAGGTTCGGCAGGCCGTCGTGGGCGTCCGGGAGGAAGACGCACATCGAGAACCTGGCCGTCATGCCGGTGTGTCTGGTAAGCTAGCTTGAGCACCTTGAACCCTTTGTACTCCGCCACGGCATGATCCTTCCAGCTGCGCATGAACGGCGTCCGCACGTGGCTGCCGTCGAGCCGCTGGAAGCGCCTGATCTTGGTATCCTCCTCGGCGAAGGGTATGGACCAGCTGCCCTTGAAGTAGATGGCGTTGGCGAGCACTAGGGCAGTATCAGAGCGTACGGAACCTTTAGGAAGGATTGAGGTGATGAGATTCTTCGTGGCTTTCGAAACCCATCTGTTGATTTTCTCTCTTGCCTCCTCTCCCTGCATGCATTAAATCATTAGTTCACAGATCGATTAGCATATATCGCACGGACGCACTATAGACAGCGGCGGATTCAACCAGGGCGCCTCGAGCCCCCTACTGGTACCGGAGCCCTGGAGCCCTCTAAATTTTTAGCTAAAGTTCTATCACGTAGGTTGGGATGAGATCGAGCATCAGCCCCCTTAAAAATTTTCTCGGATCCGCCGTGACTTTAGGTGAAGCAATCTTTCGATCTAATTGAGGTTGCTGTTTTGTACTTCCTCTGTTCCTTAATATAAGCCATATAGTTTTTAGCACCAATATTAACGCACGGCTTGGGGAAGCATGTGAGACCGAGAAAAAAAGAAAAATCAGGTCATCTTCTCTCTCCCAATCAGATTGCTTCCTAAATCTAAGGGATTGGTTGGAGTATGTGTTATGTACGGTGGGATGGTTTTCAAACTAATCGGCGTGGGAGCGGATACGTATCTATATTTTGGAATTTTCTTTAGAAATCTATATGGTTTATATTAAGGAACGGATGGAGTATCTGATTCTGTATTGATATATAGGTAAATCAAAGAAATTGACCTTGTTCATGAAATCAGCGGCGTGTGTCTCGGCCTTGTAGGATTCAACGGCGGCTGCGGTGTAAGCCGGCTTCAGAGTCACGTCTTCTCGTGCCAGAGCGCGCACGCGAACGCGACAAGCGGCGCACCGGACTCGGAGTGGTCGGCGAGGGCGCGCTCCACCACGGCACTAACGAACTCGGCGATCTCGTCGAGCGACGCCGCGCCGAGCGCTGCCAGCAGCTCGTCCACGGTGGTACAACGTGCCCCGGCCGACAGCAGGGCTAGCGCCGCATAGATGGACAGCGGCGAGAAGAATATGTTTTGGCCTTCAACACCGACGACGCCGGCGCCCTCATCAGCGTCGGCGAGGTACTTCGCCAGGCGGAGCCCGAACGCCGTTAGGCCAGAAGCGGCCGTCCCGCGCGCCTTCTTGCTTGGCCTCGCCGCTGCCGCCTCTTCCATGCTGCCGTCCGTAAGAGTAGTACTAAGTGAGGGTACCAAAAAGTCTCCTATTTTGGAGAGATTGAAAAAAAAAATCATCTACAACAACTTCCAAACCTATCTACTCATCTTTTGGCACTTACAAAAGGTAATCCATGCGCGTCTAAAGTTACGCGTACGTATGGAAGGACGTGTGAACAAAAAAAAAATAGGACAAAGGCTCCTAATGCAAATGTATAAGAGAGAAATAAATTATAAAAATAGCTAGTGTGATTTAGAAATAGTTTATGATTCCTGATACAAAATTATCTTCATTCTTTAAAGCGCGAGATTTTAGCTGTAGCTTTCTTATGTCTTCCAATATATTTTTGCAAAGGTTATAAAACATGTTTTTGGGTAGTATTTTTTTTAGATACTGCTACAGATGCTCTTATATTGGATAGAACACACAAGGTGTCGCACGGTTAACCTATATTTATAGGACGGAGTATATAAATCTCATATTTGCTCTCCTAATCCGTCGCACATGCGGCCCACGCCGGTGCGTTTTTTTTTCTTAGAGAACTTGCCCACGTCCGTACATTTTGTTTAGCAGGTCTGCATCTGCATGGTCTTATCTCTATCTATCTACAGTAAGGTGTCGTTTGGTACTGCTCCCGGAGCCGTTTCTGCACTTCTTCAACCAAACTGGGGCAAACAGCTCCGCGTCGCGCTCGGAGTTGCGGAACATCCGCGGAGAGAAGAGGAGAGAAAGGGTGGGAGCTAGAAAAACGTAGCTTCCATCGGTTCTGCTTGTCCTGTGGGCCCAGTGCAGGCGACGGGCGGGTGCCGCCAAGCGTAGGGACACCAAGGTCGCTGAGTGGAGAGCGCTCGGGGGCGAGAGCCCCGCCGCCGGGCGCGGGGACGCTGGTGTCGCCAAGGAGTGCCGCCGTGCGAGCGCTCGGAAGCGAGAGCTGTGCCGCTGGGCACGGAACGTCGGGGCCACCAATCGCAAGGACGATAGGGCCGCTGGTCGCGGGGCCACCACATGGGGCCACCGGGCGTGGGCCACCAAGGTCGCCGAGGCTACCGGGAGTGGGGCGGAGGTACTTCGACGGACGTACGCGAGTGGCCGAGAGGATGAGGAGAGAAGAAACTAAAGAAGGGGTGAGGAGAAAAAATAAAGAAAATAAAGAAAAAGGTAGTATAGTCATTTAATCTTTTTTCATCTACCACGAGGAGCCGTTTTACCAAACATTCACCAAAACAGCTGCCTCTTCACCAGCGAAACTGCTCCTACAGAGGAGCCAGAGCCGGAGCTGTTTTCGGTGGAGTTGTAGCCCTGCCGAACAGGCCATAAAAAGCGTACCAGCCCATGCGCCTACAAGTTTGTTTCCTTCAAAAAATCGACTACCAAAGTTAGAGCATCTGCAAGAGTTTCCAAAACCCACTCCCACTCTAGATTTTTTGGCAAGATTGAAAGAAACTGCTCTCAAACAACTCCCTATCTCAACTTCCAATCTTTTCGCACTTGGGAAAAACAATCCAATCACGCGGATAAATACGTGCCTGTATCCATCCACCAATATGAAGGTGGAAGTACATGGGGAAGAATACAAGGTAGGACATGGTATCTGATGCAAATATACAAAAAAAATTTGGTTAGGATGATTTAGAAATAGTCCGCAAACGTGGTGCCTTAGGCAAAAAAGAGGTTTCGGTTTGAACCCCACTCAATCAAATTCCCGGGTTTCATGGAGGTTGTGGAGTCGGCCTGGTCAGCAACTCTGTTGATGCTGACCCGTTCCGTGTACTGGATTACAAACTCAGAAATGTGGCATGGGCGCTGAAGAGCTGGAGTGATAAGAAGATCGACAGTGTGCGGATGCAGTTAGCCTTGGCTCGGGAGGTAATCGTACGTCTAGATGTGGCTCAGGAATCCAGGTCGCTTTCTTTGCAGGAGTCACAACTTCGTAAGTCACTGAAAGTCCGCATGCTCGGTTTGGCATCCCTGTTGCGTACGATTGCCAGACAACGCTCAAGATTGTTGTTTCTGGCCGAGCGTGATGCAAACACCAAGTTCTTTCACCTCATGGCTTGCCACAGAAAACGCAGAAACTTTATACGGTCTCTCCACGTTCATGGCAATGTGATTGTTAGTGACGAAGGAATGGCTGATGCTCTGTACCAATACTATGACCAAGTCTTGGGCACCATCTTTGTTCGCTCCCAGAGATTCGACCTTGGGATTATTGGGCTGCCATCGGTGGACCTATCCAGCCTGGAGGTGTACTTCACTAAAGCTGAAATTTGGGCAGTGATCTCTGAAATGCCGAATGACAAGTTGCCAGGGCCAGATGGCTTCATAGGCCTCTTCTACAAGACAGCCTAGCCCATAATCAAGGTGGACATTATGAACGCCTTCAACGCGTTCTGGGCTCGCGACACTAGAAGCTTTAACTTGCTTAACGATGCTTACATGATCCTGCTAAGAAAGAAAGATCAGCCAGAGGGGATCAAGGACTACTGCCCTATCAGACTCATTCACAGTTTTGGCAAACTGATCACAAAATGCCTAGCAGCAAGGATGGCACAGGTGCTGGATAGTTTGGTTCGGCCAAACCAGACGGCCTTCATCAGAGGTCGTCGCATACACGACAACTTCTAGTTTGTGCGCCTGTCCTGTAAGGCGATTCATGAAAAACGTGTTCCCTGTGTCCTGCTCAAGATTGATATAGCGAAGGCTTTTGACTCAGTTGCATGGATCTTCTTGCTCTAGGTGTTGGTGCATTCGGGCTTCGGCCAACGCTGGAGGGACTGGATCTCCAGCATACTGTCAACTGCTAGCACAAAAATACTTCTTAATGGTAGGCCAGGGAGAAGAATATGCCATGCGAGGGGACTTCACCAGGGTGATCCACTGTCACTGATGCTTTTTGTGCTCGTCATGGAGGTTCTCAACCATCTTATCTGTTGGTTGGACGTCCAGGTTTCCTGTCACCCTTGGGGGTCGCTGCGCTGCCTTTCAGGGTCACCTTGTACGCTGATGATGTCGTCATGTTTGTAACACCAAAACTGGATGATCTGCTCATCCTGAAGGGGGCGGTGGAGCTCTTCGGCCTGGCGTCTGGTCTATTCTCCAACTTGGATAAGAGTGTGGCTACTCCAATTGGCTGCTCGGAGCAGGAGTCAGAACTGGTGCGTGACACTTTATTATGCAAGATCGAGGCCTTCCCATGCCGCTACCTGGGTATTCCACTATCGATTTTCAAGCTGAGGAAGGGCGATGAGCAGAAGCTGGTAAACTCCGTCGCGTCCAGGATACCACAATGGAAAGGAAGATTGCTGAACATGGCCGGGAGGACAGCATTAGCTAGGGCTACGCTCTTGGCAATACCGATCCACATGTCGATAGCGCTGTGTCTTTTGCAGTGGACGATTGAGCAAATTGATAGGCAGCGACATGCTTTCATTTGGTGTGGCGAGCAGACGGTCACTGCAGGCGAGTGCAAAGTGGCCTGGAAATCATGCTACAAACCACATGATCTTGGAGGGCTGGGCGTCATTGATCTGTGACGTGCTGGGGTTGCACTGAGGGTCCAATGGGAGTGGAAATGTTGGGTTGATCAAAGCCTGAATTGGTCCGCTTTGCATAGGAAAAAAGAAAAGATGGTGACTGTAGTTTTCAAGGCAGCAACGGTGTCCATTGTTGGCTCTGGGGAATCGACTTTCTTTTGGACGGACAACTGGATTGATGGCACAAGCATTCAGTCAATGGCGCTTGTGCTCTATCAGGTAGTTGCAGCAAGGCGTCGGGGGGCGCTGGTATGTGATGCACTACCAGGTAATGCATGGGTGCGCCACATCACCGGAGCACATACGGTTCAGGTCATCAATGAGTTCATGCTTGTGTGGCAGCAAGTTCGGCACTTTCAGCCCTTGCAGGGAACACCTGAAGTGTTTCGGTGGAGGCTCACACCGGATGGAGGCTACTCTTCGGCCTTGGCTTATGGAGCCATGTTCTTTGGAGCTTCGAGGACTCTTGGGGCAAGGGAGATTTGGAAGACCTCGGCGCCGCCAAGAGTTCATGCCTTCTTCTGGTTGGTAATGCACAGGAGATGCTGGACCGTGGAACAGCGGTTTCGCCATGGCTTGTAAGACTCCAGCAACTGCATCACTTGTGACCAACTACCGAAGCCTATGGATCATATCATCTTGGGTTGTGTTTACAGCAGAGAGGTCTGGGCCATTCTACTGGCCAAACTTCATCTCCTGGATGTTGTACTCGTCAATAAGGAGGATGTCATGGAATGGTGGCTGCGCAATAGAAAGCTCTTTGTCAAACCGGCGAGAAAGGGGTTCGATTCACTCTTCTTCCTAGTTGGCTGGAGACTGTGGAAGGAGAGGAACTCGCGCACTTTTGATGGAGTTTCTACTAACGCGGCTGGTCTGGCTTGCTCGATCTTGGGCGAGGCCGAGGAGTGGTGTTTGGCAGGATACAAGCACCTCCTGTCCTTGCTAACACTGATGTAGTCTCCATGGGTCATTCCTGTCGCAAGCATAGTAGTATGTAAATCAAATTCACTTGCTGTCCGTGGGCCGTTGTGCTTTGGTAATCGATGGATTACCATGGCATTTATTTGTAATTTCGAGTAAACTATCTTCTCCTGCTTAATGAACACCATGCCCGAGGCACGTTCGAGAAAAAAAGTCTAAGGTATCTTGTCAATACTAGACCTGACATTGCATTTTTTGTAGGCATGGTGAACAGGTTCATGGAATCTCCTACCATATATAGCAGGCACAACTAAATATGGTCGCAAGTATGAGAAGACATCCATTTCGGGTCTGAAATTGTTGGGGGTACTCTGACAGTGACCATACTGGTGACCTTGAGAAGAGAAAGAGTACATTAGGTGTAGTATTTTTCCTGAATGGCAATACAGTGACTTGGACTTCCCAGAAGTAGAGAGTGGTGTCCTTGTCCAGTTGTTAGGCTGAGTATATTGCTGCAGCCTTAGCAGCATGCCAGGGAGTCTGGT